ATAGTGTTTTGAATTAAGCATAGTTAGAGTTATAGATATTACTTCCAACTACAATTAAGAGTTGGCATTGGCCAGTTTCAAAAAACATGTTTGAGCTGCAATTTTTTATTACAAAATATGATTCAAAGTATCACAAGTATTCTATTGAATCCATGTGATATTTAGATATCTAGAAGTAAATAGCATCGTAGAGTTGACAGTGTTACATGAAATGTCAGATATATCAAGATAATCTGAACACATATCTTCTTGAGAAAGTAGAAATGAGGGAAGATGGAAAGAATGAATTGATTCTGATCCCCTGTTGTAGGCTAAAGTAATCTCAATGAACCCCAAGTTAAGGATTCAAGTGTTTCTTTTTCTTGCTTGCTATTGTTTCTAACATATTTTATAAGATAATTTCTTTATTGCTTTGCTTTGTATGTCCCTCCCCCACAGTATAACCCCTGCTTTCACTGTATTTGATGTTGGTATAATTTGTGGAGGGGAGGGGAAAAACAAATTATTTAAACAGGGATACAGGTGGACCCATTGCAACAATGAGATGTACAAGACGTTATGTCGAAAATGAACTTTACATCTTTGGCACCATGGAGGGGGTGGTGGGAGATGGGAAAGGATGGGAAGGGGAAACAAAGGAGGACGCAACAATGCTTGATAAGAAATGTACTCATTACTTTGCTCATGTAATTGTAGCTCCTCTGTATGGTATTTTCACAATTATAAAAAAAAAAAAAAAACGACAAACAAACAAGAAAAAGAGACTATTCATTGTTAAGAGTTCAGGAGACTCAATTCAACAGTGATACTCACAAGACAATATGTTGGAAATGATAAGTACACTGTGGAGAGGGGCGCTAAGGGGGAGGGAAAGTGGGAGAAAAATGTGGGAGGGGGTAACCAGTTCAACAAGAAAGATATTCATTACCTTACTTATGTAACTGTAACTCCTCTGTACATCACCTTGACAATATTTTTTTAAGAGTGCAGGAGAGAGCTTATGGTGTGGTTTATTTGATTTTTTTTCTCAAGTATCAAATGAAACTATCCCTGTTAACATAAAGCTATTTTAAATCATAGAGGTAATGCTACACAACTACTTTTTTTTCTTTATTTTTCCTAGAATGTATTTTGGAACCCAAATTTCCTTGTGAGAGTTAAAAATGCTGTGTTTCATTGCAGCTATTACAGAGGAATATTCAATGGAAACTGAAACATATATTCTTGCATGAGCAAAGTTTATATTTTAATGTGAAATAAAATTTATACCTGCATGCATTTGTGCAGGCCTATCAGCACACATGTTCAGGAAGAGTGTGAGTTTGAAGCCACCTGCACAAAGTGAGACACCAGCTCAAATAAATCGGTAAATAAAATAAAATGAAACAAAATTACATGTACAAGCATCACCAAATGAATGAGATACATGAGCATAAGAAGTGAGATCTCAATACTGATTTTTAAAAGGACATTTTAAAAATGCAGGTAATGACATGCATTTGTTTGTACATGCGTGCATGTGTGTGTGTGCGTGCTCATGCCCATGCATATGTGCGCTTTCTTTGTTTCTCCATTGATCACTAGACATTGTCCAAAAATGTATTATCTAAAATGTTCTCCTTTTGGGAATGATGCCAACCATGATTGATATGCTAATATCTATTTTATCAGCTTCATGTTCGCAGGCTTAGTGGGAAATACTTGTTCTTCCCTCTTTCCCATGTCTCTTAAGTCACCAGGTCCCAGCATTGTTATTTACCCTTATCTTTTGCTGCAAACTTCTTGGGATTGGTAAAAAACGAAAAAAAAACAAACTAGTTCCTTAGCTATTGTTATCTGATTGAAAGCATGGTTTCAAAACATATCTAGTTGACATGGCTTTTCATATATCAAGTCCTTCTTCAGGTATTTGGCCAGGGTGATTGCTGTGATTTTTCATTGCAAAGCGACTGGCTTCCTTTAGAGGAAAAGCACTATTTAAAGGCAAAATATTACAATTAATATTAAAATGAGATTCACTTGTTTAAAAAGAGTATTTTTTGAAAAGGACAGGAATTACAGGAGAAAAGTAGCATGTGGCTCTTTGTATTTTATAGATAGACTTTCTCAAAAGGATGACATGGGTTTTCAATATGTGGAGTTTTTGGGAGAGAAACAAAACAACTGCCTAGGCAAACATAAAATATTAAGAATTCTGAGACATCAGAAAGGCATACTGGAGGAAAGACTTTTCATAAGATAGACATTTTTAAATTTAAACCAGTAGAATTTTGACTTTGCTCTATTTTGTACATTTGGTAACTGATCAAGCATGTATTTGAGTGTAACTACTGTTCTCATAGATTGAGGCAGAAAGAAGGGACTCTGTTTCTTAGCTCACTGATGATGGTGACTCAAGCAATAATAAGAATGACAACACCAAGGCAAATGTTGCCTATGGCTCTGTAAAGAGCATTTAATAGCTCTGTAGATAGCTCATTTAATTTTAATCCTGTCTCTCTTCAATATGGAAATAAGTCCAGATTTTATGAGTACAAAAGAAATGTCAGTGCTTATTGGAATAATTCAAAGATTATACAAAGGAAATTACATTTTATTCATTGTCATTCTTAGAAGCTTTGAAATTGGTCAACGATTGCAATAATACAATCTTTTAGAAAACAACATGAATACATAATCACACTACAACATATTTTGCTAACAAAATCATCATTCATGATTTTGTGGTATGAATATTATTAACAATATTAGAATATAAGGCTACTATAGTTTTATTATTCATATCTTTTTTATCTGCTTAAATCTCTTTACCTATGTGAAAATAATGATAATCATTACATGTAGCTAGCTATTCTTTCAAACAAAAAGGCCTCCTGGTTGTTACATTTGAAAATCAATTCTAAGGGCTGGAAAGAGAATGAACATTTCTCTTGTTATGGTATGTTTTGACATGATATTTTAAATGTTTTAATTTAATGAGGCAGGCTAACAGTGAATTAATATTTTTATAAATATTTTATAAAATCTCATTTCAGGAAGGAATGCCATTTTTCCAAGATATTTTATTACGCTGACATACTGTGATATATTTTGAATGTTCAAATGTACAACAGTTTTGGAAGATGATTATTTTTTTTTATTTAACTTTATTTTATTTGAGAACATACTGTACGGAGGGGTTACAGTTACATGGGCAGGATAATGCATACATTTCTTACCAAGCATTGCAGCCTCCTCCTTTGTTTACCCTTCACCTCCCCCCCACCCAATCATACCCCCCTTCCCCCCCCCCCCCACCGACATTGTAAAGCTGGTTTTGACATGACATTTTGTACTTCTCATTGTTGCAACAGGTCCACCTGAATCCTTAAACGACTTGTTTGTCCCCATCTCCTCCACATGTTATACTGACATCAAATATAGTGAAAGCGGGGGTTACACTATGGGGGAGGGACATACAAAGCAACAAAGAAATAATCTTATAAATGAGTTAGAAACACATGCATGAAAGAAACAAAAACATTAAAATACATATTTGAGGGTTCGTTTTCCTAACATCACATTCTCTGACTTTTTCCGCTTGACTCATACCTATACTAGATATTGCAAAAAAGGGAAACCATGGGACCTATGTTTCTTTGGGCCTGGCTTACTTCACTTAATATAATTTTTTCCAAGCCTTTCCATTTCCTAACAAATGGGGAAATGTCATTCTTTCTGATGGAGGCATAGAATTCCATTGTGTATATATACCACATCTTCTTGATCCATTCATCTACTGAGGGGCATCTGGGTTGGTGGAAGATGATTATTACATAAAATAATAATCATCAGAATTGATGCATGAAATGAAAAGCGACAAAGATTCGATGGTAGATTATATTGGTAAGGTCTGCCTCAGACCATGCAGGCAGGTGCAGACACCTCCCTACCGCTTGGCTAAGTTTCCACCCAGTATCTGTGTTACCTAGGTAACTAGCACAGCTGGAAGCTGTCACCTCCCCCTCCTGCTACATCAAGTCCTGGGCCTCCTCTGGTCACACCTCCCATCTGACCATAGGAGGATCCCAGGCCCTGAAGTCAGATCCAGATCCAGTGTGGCCACCACACCTTTGCCCAACCTGGCCAAACCTCTTCCTGTTCCTAGCCTGGATAAGTCCTGGATTGGGTGTGGTTCTCCTCTTTGGGCCATGCCTCTTCACCATGCAAGGTGGAGGGAAAGTGAGCGGGAAACAGTTTGGTAAATAAATTTCTTTTCCTGCCTGAATACATTGTGGTGTTCTCTTCATTGGTTACCTAATGAAAACTACCTACCTAATACACCTTACAATATTCCTCTTCCTGGAATGAATTTAATTTTTTTTGTATTGCTACAAATTACAAATCACCAAAAGATATTCAACAGGAAATTTCAACTTAAAAATATTGCTGCAACATTTTAGAATTGATGGATTTTCTTATCAGATGATGTAACATGATGTTTTACGGTAGTCATCTTAAATATTGTTAATACAAATACCAAGCTCTGAGTGAAATTAAAAAGATTTTAGGCCAGATGCTGGTGGTTCAGCATGCCTGTAACTCTAGTTACTCAGGAAGTTGAGATCTGAGGATCACAGTTTCAAGCCAGGTCAGACAATAAAGACCATGAGACTCTTATCTACAATTAGCTATCAAAAACAAACAAACAAACACCACCACCAACAACAACAAAACCTTTGTGAAGTGGAAGTGGAAGTTCAAGTGGTAAATTACTAGTCTTGAGCAGTAAAGTTCAGAAACAATGTCCATGTCCTGAGTTCAAGCACTGCACAGGCACTTAAAACACAAAGATTTCCATGACCTTTAACAAAAATAGTTATAAATCTGGTTCTCATCAGCCTAGAGATATAAAGTCACAACTTTCGCTTGATGGCCATTATCTTGTCATGAGTTGTACAGCCTTTTCCATTTTCAGTAGTATGTAGTCAGCATTTATATACACTATTTATTATTCATAATTTATGTTAAACTTACCTTTTATTGTTCATTCAAATTCAATACCTCTGTTTCTCAGTCAGTACACAGAAAATGTCTTTTGGCAGGTGCATAAGCTGTAGAATAGCTATCTCACTCATGCATGCATTTTCAGTGTCTATTTGTTCACTAAACAATACACCAAACTTTTGTTCTAGTAGTGTTATTCATGGTGAAGGAAGGAAAATGCAGAAACAGAACAGTATTATATCCTATACAGCTACTAGTATTGATTTCAAATTAACTAGAAAAATAGTTATAAAATAATTAGAAAAGTTTAGCTTATCATTTAAGAAAATTTTAGTCTACTTTACAGAGGACATATAAAAGTACTTAAATGAAGATTTTTAAATGAAGTTTTAAAAATAATAATTTATTTCCTATATGATTATTCCCTTTCTTTAGATTTTCTACTTTACCATAAATTATGTCTGTATTTACCCTTCCTTGTGGATCAATATATTATATCTTTTCTTTCTTTCTTTCCCTTTTGCTTCCTTCCTTTCTTTCTTTCTTTCTTTCCTTCTTTCTTTCCCTCTTTCTTTCCCTCTTTCTTTCTTTCTTTCCCTTTTGCTTCCTTCCTTTCTTTCTTTCTTTCTTTCCCTCTTTCTTTCTTTCTTTCTTTCTTTCTTTCTTTCTTTCTTTCTTTCTTTCTTTCTTTCTTTCTTTCTTTCTTTCTTTCTTTCTTTCTTTCTTCCTTTTCTCTCTCTCTCTCTCTTTCTCTCTCTCTCTCTCTCTCTCTCTCTTTCCTTCTCTTTCTTTCTGGTATCATCTATCTGTCTGTTTATTTACATATACTCACTAATTCTGTTCTCTTGCAGGTCATTCTGTATAAGCTATGGAAAGACATAATTTCAACTAACTCATAAATTTTCCTAAGCAAATAAATACTAAAAAGTTAACAGCGTTTAGTAAATCTAAAACATTGCAGAATGAATATATACTATCACATCAAGATATGGGTAACTGATAATAAATGGAAAAGTTACTTAGCACTGACAAATTCTAAAATAATAGTAACTTCCTTCATCTACTTTAGCATAACTCCAGATATGTGTACCATATATACTTCAAATTGACCCCCATTAATATAATCAGTTTAGTGAACATTAAAAAAAATAGTTCTTGTGTTAAAACAATTATACTTTTCTGGTACTCATTTGGTTACAAATGTTCTGGCAAGCATAAATATTTTCAGACTACACATGTGAATGCTAGAATCTAATATTATTACACAGATTAGTAATGTTTCCTTTAATTGTTTTAGTTGTCTACAGGTAAAATGTCACTATGGTATTTATTTGCTGCTATAAATACATTACAGCAATGTGTCTTCACTTGCCAAAATTCTAACAATTCTTTTCATTAATGGCTACATCTTATGATTAAAATATCAAACACTACATATGCTGTGTTGTCTCACCAGGAACAGGGCTAACACTTTGACTGATTGGAAGTTTTAGCTACAGATGTTGTTCTGGTCACTAAAGACTGTTGAAAAACTCTTGAAAAAAAAGTGATTCATCTTGTTTGTGCAAAACCTAATATTTGTCGTCTTTAATAGGCCTTAGCAAAATTTAAGAAAGCATTTATTTTGGCTTAACCTTGAAAGTATTCCTAAATTATACAATGTCAAGTGCACATTTTGAAATTAAGAACTCCCTGTGAAACATGTTTGTCATAGAATATAGATTATTTCATTTCTTTTGATGGGCAATTATAGTTATCTGAAAAGTATATTATTATTTACCTTTGATGAGAAACTATAATTTTATAAAATCTATGTCTATGTCTTCAGTTTATGTTTTTATTATGAAACCAATCAGATATTACTGCATGGATAATGGAAGATGCCAAAACTGTGAGGGCATGCTTACTTGGAAATAATCTACCTATTTCACCAAAATGCACTAAAGATAATGAGAGAAAAATAGATAGGATAATATGCCTGATTTACCTCTTACAAATATATCTGCATCAATTAGGTTGCTTAGTCAGAGGCAGGAGAAGAGAGAAATAAGACTATGTTAAAATGACTTATTTCTTAGTGTCTTAATCTTCCTTGAGTATCTAGAAAAGAGAAATTATAGAAGACCAGGCACAGTGTCTCAAGACTGTATCCCAGCAGAGTACAAGACAAAAGAGGATGATCACAAGTTTGAAGCCAGTTTAGATTATATAGCCAGATTTCAAAAGCAAAGAAACTAATAATCTCTGTTTATTTAGTATTTTGAGGAACATCCATAGTGCTTTCTAATTATTGAACAATACCTGGAATTCCCACCAACAGTGTAGGAGCATTCCCTTTTGGCCACATCCCCTCCAACATCTGTTGGTATTAGTTTTCCTTATTATGGCCATTCTAACTGAGGAGGAGTCTCAATGCTGTTTTGACTTGAATTTATTTTATGGCCATAGATGTTGAACATTTCTTATTGTGTCTATTAGCCATTCTTATTTCTTCTTTGGAGAATACTTCAGAGAATTATCTCTTTAACTCTTTAATGTAGTCATTATCTTACTTATGTAACTGTACATGTCTGTACATCACTTTTACAGTAAAATTTTAAAAAGAAGAAATTAATAACCTAAGGGAAAATCATTCTAGATTGAAATTTTTCTGTATTGTTGCTAATTTATGGTAGTTTGACTTACCAATTTTATGTTTTTATCATGATACAAAACCTATATATATGTATATATATGGTAAAGATTAATAATTGAAAAATATTCACTTTAATAATATTCTAGTCAAGTAGTGTTTTGAAGAGAAGACTTTGGTCAACCTACAATTCATCAAGAAACTATTGTCCTTTAATTGGGAGGGTAAACGAGCAATCATCCATGGAATACTCTACTTCCAAAAACTGACATTTAGTAGGTATGGGTATTACTGCATTGTCGGTTTAGGAGATGGTCAGCTCAGCTGGGATGTATCAGATCATAACCCTATCCTAAGTTTAGAACCATCCCCTATATTGACAGATCATATGCCATTCTTGATATTTCTTTCAATTGTATGAAGTCTTTCTCCTAAACTTATTTGGCTTATTTAAAAACATCAGTATTACCATTTTCTAGCAGCATCCACAGAGTTAGATGAGATTTTTTTTCTCTAGTCCCACTTAAGAAGATGCATCATATATTTCAGTTACAATATCTTTAGTGTGTCCTATAGAACCACTGACATTGTCATTAAAAGTTACCATGAAATAATCCTTCTAATTGGTCATCATAATATTAGGCATACTTACTTTGTCCACACTATTAGATCAGTGGACAGAGTAGTCTCTTAATAATATTTCAGTGATATATATCAAATAAAATAGAATTTGTGCATATTCCTAAAATTCTTGTGCTTTTTTGGGGGGGAGGGGCGGGGGGAAAGTTGTGAGCTTGAACTCTGGGCTTGGGCGCTGTCCCTCAGCTCTGAACAGGCAGAAAAATGCTCTGCGATCCTCCTCCCAGGTTAGTTCAATGGGAGGAGATGGCTTTTTCCTCGAGTTTGGAGATGCTGTGATGAGGCTAGGTTCTGGGTAGAGTTGAGGCCTTTCAGCAAACAGTAGCTATTCCGGGGGCTGGTTTGTGAGAAACTCACAGAGCCCAGCCTGGAGCCACTCTCAGGGTTTTTGTTTACTGAATTTCAGTTGATTGTCGAGGCTGCTAAAGGGAGGGGCAGCCTCTGGCTCTGATTACCCTGTGAAGAAAGCCAATCCTGGGGCTGGCACCCAAGCTGGGTGACTTTTCCCTGGGTAGAGCTGAGTCTGGCAGGTCAGGTTAGGCTCCTATGACCTGCTAAATGACTCTAGTTTACTTCCAAGGCCTGAGTTGGAGCTAGCAGCTCCTCCGAGCTTTGTCGGTATCCAAGATGGAGATCTCTGGTACTGGGGAGGAGGGGTGGCCTTCCCTCCTCTGCTCCCTGAGGAGTGAGGACGTCAGGCTTCTACTCACACCAAGTCTTGGTTCCTGGGTCGTCTCTGGTCTGCAAACTACAGGATGAAGATGTCCGCTCTTTGTCAATTCTTGCTGGTGTGGAGTGGAATCCGCTCACCTGCGGCATCTGGTTCTTTCGTCCTGAACTCTCTGTGATTCAGGTATGGCGCTTGTGGTCGCCGCCGCCACTGCTGCCGCTGCCGCAGCAGCTGCTGGCAAGTGCTCAGGGCTGTCTCCTTGCCTGTATTTTCTCTCTCTGGCCTAACTCTCTGTCCTGTGAAGGCACACTTGGTGTGATTCTCTGGCTTAGGACTGTTCACTGGACCTCTAAAACTGCTTTCTATGCGAGAGCTTGTTTAGCCTCCAGCTTCTCCTCTGCCATCTTTTCTGTACCCCTGTCCCTCAGCTCTGCAGCTCAAGGCAAGTGCTCTACCACTTGAGCCACAGTGCCACTTCCGGTTTTCTGGTGGTTTATTGGAGATAAGAGTCTCACTGACTTTCCTGCCCAGGCTGGCTTTGAACCATTATCCTCAGATCTCAGCCTCCTGAATAACTAAGATTACAGGCGTGAGCCACCAGCGCCTGGCTTCCTAAAATTCTTAATACTATTTTTATGATAGACAAGTATGTGAATTTCATACAAAATAATAATTCTACCACTTGTAACAAGAGAAAATAAATGTGACAAAGCTAATATAAGGTAAACTAAAATAAGAATGATAAAGCTAAATGTAATATTATTAAGATAATAAGAAAGTGGATATGAAAGAGCAAAAACATTTTAAAAGGGAAGGAGAAAATAACAAAGAGGAAAGGAGACACCCAGAATCCATTTAACAAATAAAAACCACAACTAACTTTAGATGAAAGAAAAGTGAGTAAAAAAAGGAAAATAAAAATAATAACATATTGGAGAAGGTTCTTTCTGAGTCCCTCTTCAATTAAGATTATTCCTGATAACAGAGAACTCAAATTGACTGCAGCAGAGATTTGTTATAATTCCTTCAGCTGTGGCAAAATGTTGTTGACTTGCCTAGGCTGAGCAGTGATCAGCTTTCACACTGAAGCAGTTAAGTATGTATTTCCTGTACCAAAGTTTATGTGCATATAACAAGCTTCTGATATTGACATCTAGAGCTGCCACCACTCCAAGCAAGTTTTGCTGTGTGTAGGACATGCAGGCACTCACTCCACAAATCCTCAAGCTGTACAGACAATGCTCCACATGTCCAAACTGCAATGTCTCCCCACATGAAGCAAACCAGTGAATAAACTCATTGCTCATTTGATGCTGGAACCATGAAAACTGTATGTTGTGCTGGCTGTGATTTTGATGTTCATGAACTCAAGCTTTGCTGTAAACTCTCTCAATACCAGCTTACCTTTCTTAAGCCATATTTCTCGTTTATTTTTCTTCTTAGACTTGTGTTCCTCCACTCCCTTGACTTCCAGAACTGTCTCTCTTGGCCATCTCTCATGCATTCACTGCTCTATGATGTTTCAGTTTGTTCCAAATCTTGTAGAAGAGTATTAAATACAAATGGAACACTGAAAATAAAATTGAAAAAAAAAAAACAACAAACTTTTGAGGACCTAAAAACTTTGATGACTGGTGGCATTGCTATCGTTTAATAAGTGAGATTAGCATCTTGTTGATTTTTCACATAAAGCCTTATGATTCTGAGTGGAGCACTATAATAACACCATAAACCTTAGATTTCACAATTTGGCCATGTGCATTGTATTGCTGCCAAGATTAAGGATCCATTCCTCAACATCAGCCTAAAGGATAGCTGTGTTATCACAATCTTGAGTATGTAACTTGACAGAGAAAAATGGCATTTAAACCTTTTTCTAAAGGACATAAAAGATAATGATAATGACCATAACACTGGTGAATTTGAAAGTTGTGTCCTGACAAGACATAAAATGTTGTGGTCCTTTTTTCCCCTCCTCCTTTGGTTTATTCCCTTTTGTCATTGTTTTTCATTTCTATACCCTTTGTCTTGTATATAAGGTTATCTGATCTAGGGAGAAGAAGGGGAAGCAAAGAAATGTCATGACAAAGGATGAATCGATTCAGCAGTTATACACTAGACACTAAGTTGGAATTGAACTATGCAACTTGTGGGAGAGAGGGTGGAGAGGGAAAAAAACTGGGAGAAAACAAAGGAAGAGGTGACACTGTTCTAAAACAAATGTACTCATTACTGACTTATGTAACTGTGTAATCCCTCTGCACATCACCTTTACAAGGAAAATAACTTTTTTAAATGTTATAATCACTTAATGAGTATTAAGATGACAAACTTCAAGATAAAGATTCCTTGAACTCTTTCATAACCAAATTATAATCAAGAGGTTGATATGTTTAACTAAGTGGGTGACCCTAGTTCATAACTACAAACATAGCTACTCATTTATCTGAAACATAAGTATCCCAGTTCCAAGCCAACACTAGTAGAAAAAAATCTGTGAGACTCCATGTCTAAACACCTGGGCTGGAGGTTTGGCTCAAATGGTAGAATATAGGTGACATTTGAGGTAAGCAAGCAAGCAAATCAAAATCAAGATCACTGACTTCAAGTCCTAGAAAACAAAAGGGGAGAGAGAGAGAGAGACAACGACAGAGACAGAGACAGGAGACAGAGAGACAGACAGAGACAGAGGCAGAGACAGAGACAGAGAGAATAAGCTACAGGGCATTTTGTCATGTATTAATAAGTATGATACTCATTTACTTATTATAGAAACTTTCTTATGAAGAACATAAAAATATATAGACTTCTCCTAACAGCCATTTTTGCTTCTGCACCTTTGCTTGCTAAAAACTCTGCTAAAACCTTGAGGAGTGGAATGAAAGAGGCAGAAAACTGGACTGCCCTCATCAAAGTAGGCAAGCACCCCTTGAATGAATTTATTAAAAGGCATGGAGTAACATTAATGCTTAATGTAATAGAAATTAGAAGTTATGATTACTAACTGCACATTTTTGCTTCTGTACGAATTGCTTTGTGCTAGATGATTTTATGGTTTTTGTATGATTTTAACTGTGACTGGTTTTAGTTACTCAATAGTGGAATGTCAGCCTGGGAGTCTAAAGTTGCTTAGTAAAAGACTTCAAAAGATTTACAGGCCTGACTAAGGACACAAAGTCCTCAGAATAATCCCCATAGCTGCAATGCCCCTCCAGTAGGCAGGGCAGGAAGGCCCTAGGGAAGACTGCTGCAATGCCCCTCCCGGAGGCCAGGGTAGTAAGGCCCTAGGGAAGAAATGTAATGTTTTGAGAAACCTAAGCAACTCCATTTTTGTTTAACACTCTATCTCAGTTCTGTGACTTGACTCGTGATCCACTTTAGCCCCAATGCTAGAAATTTATGACAGAAAGCCATGCACAATTCTTGGAGCCATAGATAGCATTTGCTTAAAGCAGGTGTTAGCCCCCAAGTGGTGTTGCCCCCCAGCCATCTAGGACTAAGAGTTTCTGACCAACCGGTTCTTCAGAGCCCAACGTGAGACATGCCATGCATTCTGTTGGTCTGGGTGTGACTCCTAACCGTTTTCGGTCAAGCTATGGACCAAGGACATTTTTCTGTAAAGGTCAACCAATCATATTTGCCCAGCTTAGCTTGCTTTAAATGTTAACCAATCATGTAATTTCTTATGTAAAAGTTCCTTAAAGTTGTTTGTTCAATACTATAAAAACTGTGCTGATTCTATGCTCAGGGCCTCTTAGTGTCTGTCACCGGTTACTGTGCGCGCAGAGGACCAAACTCGAGCTTGCAATAACCGGCTCTTTGTTGCTTACATTGATCGTGGTCTCTGGTGGTCTTCTGGGGGTCCCCGAATTCCGGTATAACACTTATTCTAGTTTCTAGTGTAAGTTATTAATATTCACACTACCTAAAATCTTAGATTATTAAAATTACTTCTTTCCTCATCATTATATGCTCCCTGGTTTGCGTGTATAAAGTTACAATATGCCTAAGATTTTGCTGGAGAAAACCATCAAACTCAGTTGGATCTGTAAAGATTTTCCTAGGGGAGCTGTTGACTTTCCCTTGATGCAATTTTCTTTTACTAATTAATTGATATCCTGTGTAATTTGGATTAATTCCCAAGTAACATTGTAAAATGGAACATCATAAAAAGTTAGACATTCAGAAATCTAGACTGTAACTATACAAAAGAAATTTTAAATTACTTTCTACTTTCCAAAAGCCTCTTAATTTATTTTTACCAACAGGCTAACCCTGTAGCAAGAGTACTAACAAATCCATCAAAATATATATTATTCCTTTCACAAAAGTCTTATTAAGTCAGGGAATGGTTCTGAATAAGCCACTCAGGTTATAATATGGATTTATCAAGAAGAAATATGTGTTGTTTAAGGACAGAATATTGTAATGAGACCCTTCAGATGTTCAGGATTGTTTATCTTATTTAAAAGAACTAAAGAGTATAAGTATTTACAAATGGAGATACATTGGTTAATAATGTTGTATGTCTCTGTGGACTATTCACATTGGAAATAATGTCAGTTCTCATGCTGAGTTTAGGAAGTCAGCCTTGGCTTTAAATTTTCACTTAGTACTTCCTACATTTCTATGTTCATGTGTGCAATATCCACAACCTTAAATTCCCTGTAACTGCAATCATGTCAAATCACTTTTAAAAATTGACCCTCTGTGTAAAAGAACAGGAAAACTGGACACTTGAGAAGATTGGAACAATTTATAAGAATTTCATACATATGAGCATACCACTTCAAAATAAGTGTAGAAACAGTGTAACCCCCGCTTTCACTATATTTGATGTCAGTATAACATGTGGAGGAGATGGGGACAAACAAGTCGTTTAAGGATTCAGGTGGACCTGTTGCAACAATGAGAAGTACAAAATGTCATGTCAAAACCAGCTTTACAATTTCGGTGTGGGGGGGGGGAGGGGGGGTATGATTGGGTGGGGGGGAGGGGGGAGGCTGGGAAGGGAGGTGAAGGGTAAACAAAGGAGGAGGCTGCAATGCTTGGTAAGAAATGTATGCATTATCCTGCCCATGTAATGTAACCCCTCTGTACAGTATGTTCTCAAATAAAATAAAATAAAATTAAAAAAAATAATAAGTTTAGAAATAGTGAGTACTTCTCCAGAACTTTATGTGCTAGCTTTGAGTTTATGCCATAAAATAATAGCAAAGGTTGATATACTTGGAATCCTATCACTTGTATAGTTTAATGTCCTTATTAACTAATCTTAATATTAGGTTCCTCATATTTACATGATCCTATAATTTTTAGGAAGCTGTAAGATATTTAAATTGTTTCAGAGACTGCAACAGCTGCAACAGCTACTAAAAACAAATGTTTACGTTAGGCTCAATGAGTTTATAAGACTTTTTGCTAAGTCTTGACCCCCAAATCATTGCTCCTTTAAAGACCTCCTATTGAAAGAATCCTCTGTTAAATGGTTCAAAATCAGCATCATACCAGACCCATACAAGTCTTTTTCTTAGATAATTTATTAAGGTCTGTCAAGAATTAGCCCAGGGCAAAGTTTCATGGCTGTAATTATAACTATTAAAAGGGCAGAGAACAAAGAATGGAGACTACATCTGAAAAAATAACTGGCAAAATAGTAATCTTTGAAGTATGGCTTAAGGGGTAGAGCACCACCAGAATAAGCAAGCAATCAAGCATGATTCTCTGTGTTCAAGACTTGAACAAAACCATCACCACCACTACCACCACCACCACCACCATCAGCAACACAACAACAACAAAGTCCCAAATCCATCTCCACAATTGGTGTAAGCATTATATTTCACACTGATTATAATCAAGATTATTCTGCATTTGGCTGACAGTGTTTGATATCTGGAACCCTTCATTTGGAGAAATGAAAAGACATTGCTATCATAGCATTATTTGAACAAGTATGAGGCAAAAATATGTGCATTGAGAAAATAAAGTTTCCTTGTATAGTAGAAAAGTTTACTTGATCAAAACCTGTACAATACTAAAGGAGAAATGCCATTTCAAAGTCAGGCATTCAGAAAATACTGTGCACACATACAAATTCCATACCTTTGCACATACAAATTCATTTATTTTTATATTCAAAATATTTTCATAAGGTTCAAAATACCTAGCTAAAGGAAGTAGAAGTGGAAGGGAAGACTAGATTAAAGTACCTAGGCAAATTGTTGCATTATGTGAATTCATTTCCATCTGTCTTTAAGAGGAAAACATGATGAAGCATTGCATGGCTGCATTAATAAAATAGTTTGAAAGCAAGCATATATTTTTTGCTTCACTTTTATATATTCACAATAAAATCTGCTAAAATAAATGTTCCATTCAAATCAAATGAAATATCATTTACAGTGGTTTCTTTTGCATTATAACTTAAGAAATCGAGACTTGAAAAGACAAATATACCATTTACAAAGCTCTTTAGAAAAATTTGAAATGAAGTACCATATATCTCAAAGAACTTTCAGTAGAAATGTGTAAGAAAATTCAGTGCCTAAATTGCAGAAGGCAGATATTTCGTTTGGCCTTTGGGCTTCCAGCCTACTAAAGATTAAAAGAATTTTTGGAAAAAAAACTTTATTATAAAAGCATATAAAATTAATAAAATTCAGAAAAAAGTGTCATGATATATGTAAATTTTAGAATGTTTCCATGCATATTGCAGCATAGAAAATAAAAATATCAAGTAAAGATTTCCCATCAGTATGAAAAAAGTGAATATTATTTTTTCTTATTTTGCAAATTAACTTGATTTCTTCCACCCTTATGTAAAACTAGAGTCTTCCAGTGAGAATCTTTATCTGATTTATTATGTGCTTCTTTATGTGTCCCCAGCAAGGTGAAAAATCAGGAAAAACAGATGGAAAACAGCAGGTGCTCTGTTCGTGATGTGAGAAACTCATTCGCAATGATGACACTATTACTGTGCAAGATGAAAACAATGAAATTTAATTTAAGGTGAATAAGAAATAGAAATGCAATAAATCAAAGTAAATGAATAGTTGTAGAATCTGAAGGATATATGCAGTGATAGCATATTTCATACACACCTACTGTCTTAAAAGTAAAACGGGATTTCCCCTTCTCAATAATAATTACATGTGTTGCTTCATTCATAGGCATTTATCTATTATTGTCTTTAAAATGCACGCTTATATATAAAGGACTCTACTTGAAAGGAAATAACAACCTTTAAAAGTTTATGGATGATGACTTTGAAAGAGCTACAGATTCATGTTATGTTTAACCCCCAAAATAGTATTGAAACTCAAATACACACAAAAATAATAATTCCGTTTTTCTGGTCTTTTCACCAAGAGTTTCCAATTTTCACTATGTTGCACATGGATATATATATAAATAATATTTATGTCTTTTCAATCTCAGATTATATGACCACCTATGAGGGCCATCCCATCTTATCTTTCCTTAATGGAAATGAAGAGAACATTTTCTCCTGTCTTCATATCGTGCTTCTCAGGTGTCATGACTCCAAATGCAGATATTCATTTTCTTTCACCTTGCTTATTCCATGTGTATTTGTCGTCCTTTAAATGTAGTTGTCATATCTTCTGCAGACCAAATCTCTTCTAATGCAGAACACACAGAATTACATTAAGCTGTAAAATTAGGGTATATCCTTTGATAAGTATGCAGTCTTTGATAAGTACATAGTTTTATTCTCCATTAAATTGACCCTTTCACTTCAAGTTTTTTTTTTTATGTACAATACTATATAGAAGTTCATCCTTCACATTAACAATTAAGATTTTAATACTTTTACTTTTATATTGTAAAGGTGATGTACAGAAGGGTTACATTTAAATAACTATGGTAGGGCTGGGAAGGTGGCTCAGTGGTAGAGCACTTGCCTTGCATGCATGAGGCCCTGGGTTCTATTCCTCAGCACCACATAAGAAAAAAGAAAAAAGCCAGAAGTGGCGCTGTGGCTCAAGTGGTAGAGCGCTAGCCTTGAGCTGAAGAGCTGAGGGACAGTGCCCAGGCCCAGAGTTTTGGCCCCACGACCGGACCTAAAAAACAAAAACAAAAACAAATAAATAACTAAGGTAATGAGTACATTTCTTTTTGAGCAGTGTAAACTCTCCCTCACTTTTTCCCACTTTATCTCCCCTTTTACTCCCCTCCCTGCCACAAGTTGTAAATTCATTTCCAGCATAATGTCTAGTGAGTATGGCTATTCTACTGGATTTCCCTTTGCCCCACCATTTCTGTGATTCCCATTCCCTTCACCAAATCAGATAATCTTATATAGAAGACAAAGAGTACAGGGCTTTAATCTTAACCTGATATGGCAAATATCTCTATTATACCATGCACATCCATGTAAACAGAGTAGCCATGTTGAATGAAATCAAATCTGACCATAGGGAACGAGGAACGTTCCTGGAAAATACTATTAAAATAGAAAGTTTGCTTCCAACAGAGAGCTTGCAAAATGTCTAAAATACAAATGGAGAAGGATTTGACATAGCTTGGTTATGAAATTTTCTTTCTTTTGTGGTATTGGCAAAAAATTAGACAGAACAGCTGTGCAGATATGATCAAAATAGTTCAATAGAAAAAACTTGTTCAGTAGTAGAGCACTAGCCTTGAGCACAGAGAGGCTCAGGGACAGTGCCCAGGCTCTGAGTTCAAGCACAAGGACTGGCCAAAAAAAAAGAAAAAAAGAAAATGTTCCTAATTATAGGTAGAGCACAGAAGAATATTTATATAGTAAGTTGATGTATTTCTTACCATATCTTCCTGGATATTCAAAGTATAGTTTCTGAACTCAAAGTAGTTATTTTTTACTTTTAAAAATTACTCTATTTTTATTATAAAGGCCTTGTACAAAGGTATTAGGATTACATGAGTCAGGTAAAGAGTACATTTCCTTTTTTGCAATGTCTTCTGTTCCCCTCATTTTTACTCAGTCCCTCCCTCCCTCATCCAAGTGACCTTGTATAGTGCACTTTCATGAGTGTCCAGTGAGCGCCATGGCTGTACTTTTTCACCCTTTTTTCCTTCAGTTCTGTACCCTCCCCCAACCCTCCTGAAGATATATATATATATATATATATATATATATATATATATATATATATATGATATATATAAATATACCATATGTAAGTTAAAGAAACAGAATCATAATAAACTAAAAAAAAAAAAACACTTGTTCAAACCAGAATGAACCATAATGTGAAGATATTTTCGTTTTCGTTATTAAAGTTGGCTATGAACCAAAGTCCTGGCAAGGATATCAGTGAAGAAACCCATCTTCCCCCCACCTCCACCCCCCCCACCCCTCCCCAGCTTGGTTGAAGTATGTAATGATAAGTTATCAACATATAATAAGCATAACTACCTGAAGAAATTTCAATCCTTTAAATTATAGAAGCTGTGCAATTAGCCAAATTTTTGAGACCACTAAATTAGATGTTAGCAATTATTTCTCTGCTTATATAGAGATGACATGTGTCTAGGGTTTTCATTTATGAGAAACGATTACAGATCATATTTTTTAAAACTATTTTCTGTGTATTTCAGTATGTTATTTTATCTATATATTATATGATCTATTTTAGCAACACTATGTTGTAACAGCCATGAGATAAAATATAAAAATAAATATTGCAAAAAACACAAACATGCCAGACACTGGTGGCTCATGCCTGTAATCCTAGCTATCAGGGAGGCTGAGATCTGAGGATGCAGTTTAAAACCAGCCTGGGCAGGAGAGTCCATAAAATTCTTACCTCTAATAAACCACCAGAAAGCTGGAAGTCGTGCTCAAGTGGTAGAGTGCTAACCGTGAGCTGAAGATCTGAGGGGCAGTGCCCAGGCCCCAAGATCAAGCCCCACAACTGACAAAAAAAGGAAAGAAAGAAAGAAAAATACAAACAAATAGAATACTTACCAAGTTCTTTTCATAAGTTAAACACCTTGAATATGTGAATGTATTTTAACATAGGTAAAATACAAATTGTAGTTACTTGTAAAGGATGTCTTAGTGAAAACTGATCTAACATTACCTTGTAATAATTTTGTAGCAATGAATTGGACTAGTAGAAACATTTCACTTTTAGATAGAATAATAAATTATATCCAATGCAATAAGTAATTGTTAAGACACATTATCAATTTAATACTGCTATATCAAATGATTTTCCTATCTAATTCAGATAATAAATTTGTTATTTAAAATTTTTAAAAGCTACATTCATATATTCTTAATTCATATGATTATGAAAAATTAAATAGTAGGAAAAAACCTCTTATAATCTGAGGCCTAAAAAGAGACTGAGTATAATATTGTAGGTGTTAAAATGAAGTACAATTTCTCTTGAACAAAGAGCTTATTGTTTTAATCTTACCTAAGAAATTTAAGCAATGTTACTGAAGGTGGCAGTTACTTAACCACGTCCTTACTGAATCAATTTAGTTTGTTGACATTGATCATGTAATGCCAGCTAATATAAGCAAAAAAGAAAATCTGTTTCATGGCACTCAACCATTTTTTAAAGATGTGAAATATTCAAATAGAGTTTACTGATATAAATGTTAAAAGTCCCTAGCAAATTTTTACTTGAAACTCAGATATGTACAAGCAAATTTCTTATCTCCCTATTGTAATCCTACCTGAATAGAAAAGAACAAAAAAAAGAGAGAACAAACCAAATCTTAAGATTATCATGCTCTCAAATAAATGTGTTCATTATTAGAATTAGTTGTTTCTGTAACATGTTTTGATCACATTTTGGTGTTATTCTTTGCTTGTTAAAAGTAGGAAAGTTAATTGAAACCCACACTAATGAGCAGCCTGACACTTACATTTCAAAATGTTTTTTTGTATTTTTTTTCTTAGATTTATCTAAAATAGGCCTGGTGAGGCACTGAGACATTTACTCTAGCCTACCTGGTACAGCAAGCTTGTAGACCTCTTAGCTTTCAAAAGACTCACTACAGGAAAATACAAAAGTATAATAAGCTCTGACAAGTTCTCACAATCCAATTAAAAGAATAACTTCTATTTAGTTCCATAAATCACAAAAACTTTAACAGAAGAAAATTGACAACTTATATAATATCTGCCTGTTATAAAAATGAGTGATGTACAATGTTTACCTTTTACTTTTTAAAAATCATCCATTTGGTTTTAAAAAGATGAAACAGAGACAAATCTTGACTTGAGGTTATATATTAAAATTTCAAGAAATGAAGTTTAGGTAGAAATGTAGGCTGCAAATACAAATGGTTGTATGAAGTTTGAGGCTTAAATTAAAGTGATTTATTTTGGACAAATTGAGTAAATTTTTGAGGAAATAATATTGAGTAAATAATTTCGGTACTGTCTGTATTGTATTAGAGGATGGATTGCATCAGACCTTTATAGCCTGCCATTCTTTTCAACTGTTCAAATTCTTCTGAAGTTGCTCATAGTCAGTTTTCCTCAATATAGATGAGTAGTTAGTGATTTTATTGTTTTATCTGTAATGGCCCCTAAACATGTGTTTATTGAATCATCTAAGAGGAAAAACAATGACTGGTTTACTCAATTGCTGCCACTTTCTCTTACAGAAATAGACCTTCTGATACTTCCTAAATGCTATATAGAAATTCTGCAACTCTTATATGTATTACATTCTGTGTATAGATTAAATTTCATTAACAGATGATCTTTATCCTATTTTTTCTTCTGATGGAAAGACTTGGATGTGTAAAAATAGATCCCAAGAGGATCTCAATTCAGCCTCATATATCCTTTCTTCCAAAGTACCAAGCTATAATACAGTTGTTTTAAATGTACTATGTGACTTTTTTGTTGTTATTTTTTTTCCTTTGTATGTTCTTCCCTCTATGGTATATGTCCTGCTATCACACTTCTTGACTTTGACACCCTGCATCATGTATATACATTTGTCCAATTTGGGGAGGGGAATAACAAAATGCTGAAACAAGGACACAGGATGACCCATTGCAACAATGATACCCACAAGACAGTATATTGGGATTCAACTTTACAACTTTGAGGGGGTGGTGAGGGAGGTGGGGGAGGGAAGGGATAGTGGGAGAACAACAAAGGAAGGGGTGATAGTGCTTAACAAGATAAGTACTCATTCCCTTATTCATGTAACTGTAACCCCTCTGTATGTATTTATTTATTTACAATAAATAAAATTTTAAAAATAAAAGGAGATATAGGACAAAGCAATTTAAAAGTATGTAGTTAGCATTCTAAGGTTCTCTATCTGCTAATTTATAAATCAAATTTATGTCTATAGAGAGCAGAGAACCTATTTAGTATCTTCATTGCAACAGTATAATATGGAAAGGTTGTCACCCCTATAAATATTAAATTGAATGTCTCTGAAGCAGTGATAGCTAAGTAGAGATTTCAGTAAATTTTTGGATAAAAATAAATTATGAATTTCTAACATCCTAATATTTGTAAATTGTTCATGTGTATAATCAAAGATGATAAAGAAAATGAAAATAGAATTTTGTGTAGTAGTAAACTGTTCTAACGTGACACAATTAAACTTTTCTTTAGAAAATATTACTATATACTGTAATCCTAGGTACTCAGGAGCTTGATATCTGAGGATGATGGTTCAAAGTCCATGAGACTCTTACCTCCAATTAGTCACCAGAAAACTGGAAGTGGCACTGTGGCTCAAGTGGTAGAGCACTAGCCTTGAGATGAAGAGCTGAGGGACAGTGCCCAGGCCCAGAGTTCAAGACCTGTGACCAAAAACAAATTATTATAAAATGTGTAAAATTGTATTCATAAGCTAGGAAAAGAGAGGCCTACGTTTCTTTGTTCAGACTCAGGAAAATATAGCACTTTACTAAGTATGCAGAAAATGCTGAAAATCCCTTCTGACTTTTTCACTTGCATGTTGTATTAAAACACCCAATTAACCAGGTATCGTTATGACAAAGGTGGCATACAATATTCTTTTTCTGGCAGTCTTTCTATCCCTGTGTCCTCTGTCAAGCTTTCCTTTCATCCATTATGCAGAGAATAAAAAAAACAGTGGTATGAGTGATAAACATGAACTTTTGTCACAGTTTCTCTTTATTCTTTAATAAATAGTACCTTAGCATGGTTTTTTGCTTGTAAGAAAGAAGAAAAGTAAACCAGGCAGGAGATGGATATGCATTTATACAAGCTCCTGAGTATATACATTCCTTTTCAGAATATAGGGCAACGTTCAAAACCAGTAAGTACTGATTTCATATTTAAAAAGCATTGCTAAAACTTCCTTACTATCTCTGTGCTCAGTAACAATAACAACAAGATAGAAAAGCATGGAGTTATTATACCAACTAGAATTCTTTCAAATTTTTGATCATTTGAAAGCTTATTTTATTTATTTATTTATTTTGCTTTTCTGAAGTAGCTTGATAGAGAAATAAAAGAAAAACCTTTTTTCTGATATAAGTATACTGTTGTAGGACCTCTTTAGTCAGTAATTATGAAAACAATTTGAGAAGTATCTTAAATCATGTAGATTAAACATGGATAGGAATTTCAAAACACAAAAGATGTCAATTGTGAGATTTTTTATCCTTAATTATTTAAGGATAAATTTAATAAGTATTTATATGCTTATATGCAATATGATATTGCATGTTATGTGAGTTAGTTTATATACTGTTGTATAATGTTCTATCTTGTATCCCTGTTGTGACAAAACACCTGGACAAAACAACTTGCAAGAAGAAACATTTATTTTTAATAAATGTTTATTATCTTGAAATAATTGAACAAAGGGATTGCTATTCAACTAA